TTTTTTTTTTTGGTATTTACGCGTATAGATGACTTTGATTTCCATTTATTTTTATTTTTTGAGTTTGTTATAATCAAAACTGGAAACGTTTCATGTAGTCAGTTTTTTTGTTCCTTGTGCACCTTCAACTCAAATAAATAGATTTTAAATTAATAGATTTATTAGCTCCATAAAACTCATATGAATAAAAAAAAATAAAATTGAATGCATATGATTCGGGAACTCAACTTATAAAGTTAGCCCTAGGTCCCAAAAATCTTAGGTACGACTTTCTTCATGGAGTGTGTCGTCTTGCATAATTGGTGGGCCCTGTCCTCCATGCCACACCTCGTTTCACATAGTGATTCAAATCTACTACTTGCCCTTTCTCGGAGGAAAATGTCGTTCTGCCAGAATTAATTTGACACTTTGATTGACATCCTCTCACATTTGTGGTGGGACGTATGCGGGACCCATATGAATTAAAAAAAGAAAAAAAATCCTCCTCCCCCCTATTGTGAGGGGCTTGTCACACCCTCTCTGGCAGTCCAGCATTATTGGTTCTCGGAAGACGAAATAAATTAGAAACAACGAAGTAATTAAAATAAGATATCACGTTATTGTATCATTCTCATCATTTTGGAGAAGATTTGTCCTTAGATCTTGTGCTGTAATCTCATCTGATACCTCGTAATCGCGATACTTCATTCAATAAGGATTTCATTACCCCAACTGCTTCATCCTTGAAGGCTTTTTGCAAGTGATCGAAAATTTTAGTAATAAAATGGTGTCCTCCGAAACAACCTGCTTCAGCTCCCATGGTATCCTTGGATGGCAAGTGAATAAAGAGTAGCATCAACCAATAAAGGCATGTTGGAATATTTGCAAATTTACACCAGTCACTAACTTTACTCCATTTAATGTACTATTTTCCATCTTGAGATGCATGCTTTGATTCTTCTTGAAAAGATATACGTTAATTGGATTATTTCCATCGTTAGATGCTTCAATGTTTCGTAAGGTCTCAAACCCGACTTCCTGAATCTTGGCTAAACCAATTCTTCTCTTATCGATTTTGCATATATAAACATATTTGATAGTGGTAATATATTTGTGACTAGGTTTTCCTTTTCAATTACAATGTCAGAAATATGTGCACCGTTGTAATATTCACCTAAAATAACATTAGTTAGTCCATCGAGATTGAAAGGGACAAAATGATAATCTTTGTTGCCTGAATCCTCTAAAATTAACTTCATGTTAGTTATTGTGCCATCCACAACGTTGCCGTGGCTACCCGTAGTCACTTTCCTCAAGTTGACCACCTTCAATTGCACCCAACAATATCCATTGTTGCGCCTTCAACTATCCATGTGTTGCTCCAACAGAAAAATTCGTCGATAAAATTGTGTCATATGTTCATTTGATGTTGAATCGCATCCTAGAAGGCTTCACGAACACCGGCATGTCTCTATCAATAACATGACTGTCTCCAATATCAACTACTGCAGAAAGAAATGAACAAGAAAAATAAAATCAACTACAATTCATCGATTCACGCAAGAATATCGAATGTAAACCAGAATTGACAAAAAGTTCCAAATATTTTTATCTAACAAAAAATAACCACAAAACAACTAGTCCTTAAAAAAATTAAGTAGTTCGAACCAAACCTGCATTCATGATGAAGATTGAAAAACGTATATCTTTCGTTATATTCTTGTGGAACTTCTATTCTTCTCTTCATCGTGGTTTCTCGACGTTGCTAGCCATTTGCTTGCTCAAATTGTAATTAAAAATAATTAACTTATTTAAAACTATCTAAATACAAACATTATTTACATAAAATTTGCTTATTTATGCGGAAACTTTTTATGATTGGCCAAGCACGTCATTTAAATCTTCTACGACTTCTCAAACTATTGACAGAAGTCCAAGAATTTTTTAAAATCTCATCCGTCAAATCTTTTCATCGAACGGCCATCTTATCAGTCACCGGTCCCCTTCTATTCTGACTGGTTTGTTGTATTGACGCTCATAAGCCCTAGAACCTGGCAGGCTGAAACACCATTTCTCCGCAGCCAACTTAAAGTGAACTGGACAATCCCCCACAAAACAATGAACTAAAACCTGAGAGAATTTTAATCTCTAGTTTCTCCTTAGGCCCTTCTTGTTAAATATTTTTTGACAAAAAAATTTTATGGAATTTTTTGGAAAGTAGTAAAATGAGTGTTCAATGAGATGATGGAAGGAAATTTTTGATGGGCTCTTTTGTATTACAAAGAACATGTGGTGAAAGTGTCCGTGGTGTGACTGGTGTCCGAGGGTCAGAGTCGGGTTCAACTGAACCGAGTCAACTGAGGTGGTTACCGAGTTTCAGTTAGGAGTGTGAATTTGTATGTTCCAACATGGGGAATTTTGTTGCATGCTACGAAGGGCAGGAGTTTGTGGATCGCATTGATTGAGTTAAAATCGTGAGGATACTGAGTTGGGACCGAGTACGGTGTCTGGGATCCGAGTTTGGGTTGGTTGGACAGTTTCGTGCAGCGGGATGTTGAATCCTGTAAATGGGTTGCTGAGTTCTTGATTCTCTGTTTCAAAATAAAGTCGGTTCACGTACTGAGCCAACTCGGCTGGTAAATGACTGTTTTTTCCCATAATCAATTGAAGTTGAGGACGTAGCCGCGAAAAAAAGGTATAAATAAAAAGAAATTGAGCGCTTATCATTATCATAACTCGATGGGTTTGGCTTTAAACCGAGATTTGTTCTTTTAAGGCGGTGCGAAATAAAGAAAAGCGACTAGGAAGATTGATCCAGGCGTTTTTCCCCATTTATCACTCATTCATGCCTTCGGTGGGAATGAGATGGAGTACGGGGGTGTTCGGGACGGTCTTGCAGTCAGGAAGGAGGGTGTGGAGGGGACTCGTAGAGGGCGGGAAATACATAAGAACGATCAATGGGGATAATGAGTGGATTGAACTTGCGGACAATTCCGGGGACGGTAGAGGGGATGCCGGTAGCCCTGGCAAGGGAAGCACATGGGATGAAAATGAAAACGATCTCCCCATGAAAATGGTTACAGAAAGCAAATTAGAAACTTGGGAGGTTGAGGGCGCGGTGGAGGCAAGAAATGAGGACAGAATGTATGGAATTGTGTATAGTAGAAAAAGAAAGAGGATGGAGTCAAAAAGTACTTGCATTTCAGAGGATATGAGGTTTGGCAAGAAGTTTGTGAGGAAAAAGTGGAGGAAGAAACTTGAATCATGTGGTGAATTACAAGATTATGATACCAGGTGTCGAGAACTTGCTCTTGTCGCTGCTGAGCCTTCTGGTGATAGTGGTCATTGGATGGCTTGGTTCTTGAACTCTGTATTGAGGTACCTACGGAGGTTTGAGTTTGGTTTACAGAGTCTCTCTGTATTTGTATTCTCGGAGCCCATTTCCCATGCTTTTTCTTTACATGGTATTCAATTTTTGAAGGTAATTTAGCAAATTTAATTGGTTATGGTCCTTAGTTACTAGTTCAGTTGGGCACCCGTGAATCATAAAAAATTTGAACATTTTCTAATGATGATGCTGGACTGTTGGCATTTTCAAGTTATATACTTAATTTTTGTTATAATTATGATTTTTTTTTTTGGTGTGGGTGTGGGGTGGGTTTTTTCATTTGAAGAGTGGTGAGTTAAGGAGTTCATTTCATAATAAATGGGTCTTGAGTTATCAGTTTAATTTTATCTGATTGCTGTAATGGGCTTATGTTGCTTTCTTCTTTCTTCTCCATGTTTCAGCACCCTGCTTCATTCGAAAAACCTGGATTTTGCATAATTTCGGAATCCAGTTCTTCGATACCGGTGTTTGCAGTGGATTATTCTGCAGTTCCATTTTCTTTTATGCTTTTGCATTCAAGTATGCATCTTAGATCTGCACGTATGGCCATTATTGTGATGCATCCTTTTGTTGCAAATTGGAAGGTTAAGAAAATGAAAGATTATGATGAGGAACACTCCTCTGACATTCCTTCTGGGACAGATCAATCCAATTGCACCATGGTGTCATCCGAGATTGATGATTCTGGGTGGAGTGAGTTGTCACATTCAACCGTTGGATTGTCTAAATTGCCTGTTCAAAATAATCAATTAAGAACCGGCCACGGTATTCAGAAACCGAGGACTTCTCTTAGGCGTAGGAGAGGTAGGCCTCCTTCAGTTTTCCATGCACAGAGAGGTAGACGTGATGGTTTACAATCCTCAATTACACCAACCGGCCATCTACTTCAGAGTTCTATAAAGGGCAGTTCCACCATAAATATCAAAACCTTAAATTCTATTCTTGTGGGGTCAACACCAGAAGATATAGATGCTAATAGTTGTATTGCTAACATATTAGTTGTTGAAATGGACAAATGTTATAGGGAAGAAGGAGCCATCATTACATTAGAAGTATCTGCTTCAAAAAACTGGTTTCTTGCAGTTAAGAAGGACGGAATAGAACGATATAACCTCAGTGCTCTAAAAGATATGAGCTCATCTAGTTTCGATCATGTAACTCATTCCATAATATGGAGTGGGGATAGTAATTGGAAGCTCGAATTTCCTTGTAAACAAGATTGGTTGATTTTCAAGGAATTATACAAGAAATGCTACAATCACAATGTACAGGTGCCCGCAACAATTATCATTCCCGTTCCTGGGGTACGTGAGGTAGTGGACCCTCCATATACGGACATCCCATATGTCAGACCTGATTCATACATCACTGTAAAAGATGATGAACTAGCCAGGGCTTTGGAAAAGAGAACTGCCAATTATGACATGGATTTCGAGGACGAGGAGTGGCTGAACAAGTTCAATAATAAATTCAATGTAGAAAAGGAGCTTCATCAGCTTGTCGCGCCTGAGAGATTTGAGTTGATAATTGATGCACTTGAAAGAGGTTTTCACAGTAATGCAGATGATTGGTCTGATGAGAAAGTGGCTGATAGTGTAGGAAGGGATCTTGAAAGAAAGGAAGTTATGGAGGCTGTGCGTAGTTATTGGATTCAAAAGCGAAGGCGAAAACATTCAGCATTAGTAAGGATTTTCCAGGTAATACAAAAGTCAGTGAAAGCTCTTCCTGTTTGCCAAAAAAAATTATTGCCTGCTACGTATGCAGTAGTAGAACATGTTAGACAGTACAAAAAACAAGAATTTTTCTTTCTTAATATGTCCAGTGCTAGCTAATCTATGTTGCAAAACATGCCACTATTGTTTTGGTAACTTCGTATGCTAGAGCTGATATTACAGTGGAAAAAGTTGTAGTTGTTATGGATGGGTATTTTATTATTGTACACTAAAAGACATGGATGGTGCTGATTGTAAATTTGCAAAAGCTTGTGAGCTTGACATATGAGAAAAACAGTTACACATAGTTTCTATTTTATTCTTTGGTTTCTACATTATATGAAAATGGCTAAACCGGGTACAAATGAACCCAACTTTATGCACAATTTTTAAAATTATAATGTATGCTGCGTGTTAGAATTTTTATATATTTGGTCAAGCAATCAAGGCAAGTCTGTGCTCAGGAACATGAATTCTTGCCTTTCGTGTATTTACCATTTGGACTTGTTAATAAATTTACTGTGCACTTTTTTGAGATTTATTTTCCTTTTTCACATTACCTGATGACCTTTGTCTCAATTTGATCGTTCCAAATTCTCGTTTTAATAAAGACATGGTCATTTTCATAAACTTTCTTTGGTTTTTATGACATTTTTTTCTTCTTTTATGTTTCCTTCCGATCTTTTTCTCTCTTTATTCTCTCCTTATTTTTTCAATGAAAATTATAAAGGTGTGCCACAGTATTGTTAAAAACCAGTTGAATAACTAATTAAAAGTCAAAACTATCAGTTTCAATATTAATTAATTACTCCATTTGGTTAGTATAATCTGTTTTTTCAGTCTGAAACCGCTTCTAAAAGGTTTAAGTGGTAACTAAATAATTGTTGTTCTGTAGACATCTTAGACGGAAAGCTTGTATATTTTGCTGAGATATGCCTCAATTTTGGCTTGTGTTATTCTATATTGGCCTAAACTTTTATGTACTAAAAGAAGTACCAAAAAAAATATTTTCTCGTTCTCTTGCTGATCCATTCTTCGGTTTGGTTATCTTAAGTTAGAAATGATTTGTTTGCATGATAGATTTACAAGCCTAGAAGAGCTAAAGTGATCCCAAAGACTGTTTTGCGGAAGAAAAGATCATTCAAACGACATGGAACTCAGCCTGGGAGAGGCAAACCACCACCTTTCTTGCAAGGTGAGTGCCATCAGTAACTTATAGTTTCTGTAGTTCTGGTTCTATTGGTGCTTAATCTGTTCAATTTATGCATTTATGGGATATTCAATATGAGGTAGTCTTTCTAATACGTGCTTGTATGTACTCACACCTGTTAACATAAGTTTAATTGTCACGAAAGAATAACTCGTGTATTCTCATATTCGTGTTCATGAGATATTTACCATTTAGTGATGTCAGTAGTACACATTTTTTACCATATTTGTTACAAGTATTACTGGATTTATGGTTTTGTTACATATATCTTTTATAGTAGGTTGCATGGATGACTATGGCGACTTTTGTTATTTCTTCTAGGGTTAATCCATTTGATGTATTACCAAACATGTATTACCTAATGAGGGAGAGCGTGCCCCGGGTACACATAAATTTTTAAGGCTGTTACACCAGGGGTAGGGGTAACACTTACCATCCTTTTTCTAAGCCATGTACATTGTACTACTTTCTTCAGAAGAGTTCCTTTGTCATCGTGTTAAAATTTGACCGATTTATCTTTTATAAATGCAATTCTAGAATTCTTTAGTTTTTCATGTAATCTGATCCAGTGGATTTGAAATCTATTGAAGTCATTAATGAAGCTATTTTTGCTTACACCTCGTCTAAAAAAGCTCAAGTTATTAAAAAGGGGAGAAATTTATTAACATGTGCCAATGGGTAGTGTCAAGGCTTGAATTCAGATCTCTATCTGTCATGATGTTATCTTGAACCATCTCGACTGAAAGCTTTAAGCTAATGAAACATTTTCATGAATTTGTATTTTATTTCCTACGATATTAAATGTAATGAATGAACATTGAATCTTACAGCAACTGCTGCCGAACAAGATGCTTTGGAGCAACAGAAAAACTTCTTAAAAGTGCAAGAAGCTAAAGCTGAAGCAAACAGATTCGAAGAGTTTGCTATTCTGAAACGCCAACGAGCCCAGAAACTCACTGAAAATGCTGACTTGGCGACTTACAAGTCCATGATGGCACTTAGAATTGCTGAGAACTGCCAGTAATTCTGTATAGATTTTGATTGAATATACATTTGTATTATTCTTGAATTACAGGATGTTTACAGTAGAGTTTTCACCATTTTCTTGTAGCATATAAAGTTTAAATTACAGGATGTTTACAGGAGTTTTGACCATTTTCTTGGAGCATATATGCTACATTACCAGATTGATTTTGCCAAAATTATGCCACAATAATACTTGGCAGCATTTCATTGATAGTTGAGCCAAAAACATTTTCCAACCATCCAATCACAATCTGCCAACTCATTTTGGATATTTGATTATGGTAAAATCATCTGGTAAAGTAGCAAAATTCAAGCAAGTTTAAATTATAGAGTGCTTTAGTTTGGAGCATTTCATTTTGCACAAAATATTAAATTTAGTGTTTTTTGTATGGCCTTTTTCAATTTTTTTAAACCTTTATTTGCAAAAACCGAAAAATTTGATTTAAGTTTGCTTTTAAAATTGTTTTAAAAACGGTGAAAATTATTGGGTCAGCAAAATTTTCTCTCGGATCTTACAATTTTTTCTGCTCTCTCGAAGGCAAGAGAGTTCAACATCTATGAATATATTCTTTTAGTTCTGGTTTGAGCCACATTCTTATTTTCATTCTCATTTTCTACAACACATTCTTCAATAAAATAATATTTTTCATCATATCAATAACTTTTCTTTCTTTTTCAACTACATATTCACCATCACATCACAAAAAAAATGCATTTTTCCATTTTAATGTGCATCAAACACATTTTTATTATGAAAACTGTGAAGTTTAATGTCTTCAAATTTTCTTCAAAGAAACATCCATGAATGAAACTTAGCTCATGTTTGGCGCATATTTTTTAAAATTCGTTTTTTTTAAAATTCATTTTTAACCATACATTTTCTTAATGAAATAATTTTGCACAATAATTTTTAATTTTTTACATTTTATAATTACGCATTTTCCAAAAAAATCATTTTTCACTTGAAAATATCTACATTAAACATGACCATACTAGATAATTATGACCACCATTAGATAATGATATATATTGACAAATATATAGCTCATATCATCATATGTCATACCAGAACTCTCAATTTTCAAACTAGTAGTAAAGCAAGCTATATAAAACAACCCCATTGTCAAACATCATTAAATGGGGATTATACAAAAGTAATTGACTTATTAAAAGCCTACCACTTGTTCCCTAAGGCTCTCTATGAAGCTCTAATATTAATAATCCAAAGGCTCGATAAGTTTTGTATAATTGGTGGCACGTCGATCAAGCTACACGATAGTGTTGGACTGGCGATCAGGCGTAGGAGTGTTTGTGGGTTCGATTCGAGTCATCTTGAATTGAGGCAAATTCGATTTTTCATCTTCATCATCATACACATAAGCAAATCCACCATGCCTTGTCAAATCCATTCCAGCCATTTCATCTTCACTTGAAATCCTTAGTAGATTCAATTTGTGTAATGCATAGAAAAGCGGAGCCATGGTGACCGTGACCCACCCAAGAATCACCAGAATTTGGATGATTTGGGCACCCAAAAGCTTCCCACCACCACCCATGAACAACCCGTATGGTCTACCCGGCCGTCCGGGGTAAACCTCGTTCACATACTCCTTTTTTGCGAATAATCCGGTGAATAATACACCCCACGCACCACATCCTCCGTGGAGTTGTGCTGCCTCTAGTGGATCGTCGAATTTCAATTTTTCAGCCAACTTGTTGAAACCTATTAAAACGCAAGCTGCGATAAAACCACATACGATGGCTGCCCATGGTTCAACCACTGAACATCCTGAGGTAATTGCAGCAAATCCTCCCAATAAACCGTTACATACATCGGTTACAGTCCAATGGCCAACCAAAAGTCTCTTCCCAAACAATGTCGTTAGTGCAGCCGTGCTCCCGGCTAATGTCGTGGTGACAGCTGTCCTCCCTATCGCACTCCATTGGCCATAATAAGTCCCCTTGGTACCATATGATTTCGAGATTGTCAAAAAAGAACCAGGATTAAAACCATACCACCCAAACCATAGCAAGAAACTGCCCAAGACTACTAGAGAAGCACTGTGGCCACGCAACGCCACGGACCGACCACTCCGATCGAACCGACCAATTCTCGGTCCTTCAATAAAAGCTCCCCATAGACCAGCAATACCACCAACCATATGCACCACACCTGAACCAGCAAAATCGATGACACCGGACCCAAAAAGAAGGTTGTTATCGGATTTAGCCGCGCTAGCCCAACCGTCCCCCGACCAGAACCAGTGTGACACTATAGGGTACACAAAGCCTGTCAAGAATGAGGAGTATATCAAGTATGCCACAAATTGCGTCCTTTCTGCTATGGACCCGCTAGTAATACCTGATACAAAATATAATTGATTAATAACAAAAATTTACTTTAAAAATCAAGTTAATCGACTTACTTTTAAGCTTAGCCAAACATATTTGCCTAGATTCGAATTTGATCATCACCCATAACTTGATATGTCATTAAAAAATTGTCATGCTATATGTACACTTTGGTTTACACTCTGTGTGTTGACAGATCTGGTTACACTGATTTAAAAAAAACACTTTTCAATCAATGGTTAGATTTTTGACACATAAGAAGTGTCAACAAAAGTGTACACATTTGGGTGTACAAGTAGTGTTATTCCTTATAATATTACCTGCAGCGGCGATGGCAAAAGCCCACTGATACAGAAAATAGCTGTAATCAAACGACGCCGCGGGAAATTCCTTGAGTCCAAAAAAATGACGGCCGATGAATCCATTCGATGGCGCGCCAAATGCAAAAGCAAAGCCAAAAAGGTAGTAGGAGAGGCCACCGGCGGCAGCATCAAGAACATTGGTCAACATAATGTTCATGGTGTTCTTGGCACGTACAGAACCAGCACACAGCATAGCAAAACCTAGTTGCATGGCAAAAACTAAGTATGCAGAAAAGAGCAAGTATGTGTTGTCAATGGCATATGTGGCAACGGAGAGCTGGGTGGAAACCGCCGTGAAGCGGTTGCAAATGAAGTCTGCCGCCGCGGTGGCGTTTGGGCTGTTGCCTAGTAAGGGGAGGAGATCTGAGGCTGCACAGCTAAGGGAATTCATGGTTAAGATTTGAAAGAGGGGAAATGAAACAAGAGTTTGGAAGTGAATTTGTGCATGTTTTGGGTTGGTTTTATAGATGCTTTGGCTTTTAAGGACAGCAAACTTTTGTGTCAGTTTTGCTTATTTTAATGATGGTTGTCCCGTCATCTACGGTATAATTTATTTTTTTCTCTCCTTATTATCTATAAATTTTTTAATAAAATAATATTACACATAAATTTAAATGTCTTTTTCTTCTTTTTTAACCACGCATTGAAAACATATTTGAGTCCTATTTTTTGCAAAAAAATCATTTTGAAATGGTGATTTGATGAATAATGTGTAGTTAAAAAATAAAAATAAAAATTGAATTTGCGTATAATATTATTTTATTGAAAAATGTTTAGTTAAAAATAAAAGAGAGAAAAATATATTTTAAAAATAATGAATAACAAACCAGAGCTATATTAAAAAATTATTATTTCCTAAGAATAACGGGCCAAACCCGCTTAATCATGATTGGCCAGTGTAAAGTCAACCAGCTTCAAGTTGTGGAGTGACACCACAAAAATATAAAGCCAACTTGTGAGTACGTGTGTGAGAGATATAAGAGCGTGGGCTAGGGGTTATGTTTATTGGATATAGTATTAGTGGAAATTACGTCATACCAAAATTTTAAATTTTCAATTTGAAAAATCAGATTCAAAAGTTTTTATTTCAAAAATCAGATGATAATTAAAATTTTAATGATTTAATTTAAAAAATATAAAATTAAAACAGATAAAACGATTGCAACACCCACTAAACCCTAAATCTCTATCCCTTCTACCTCTCTCTCCATTCTCTCCGTATCTCGCTCTCCCTATCTCACACAACCATCGGAAAGGAGACTCCACTGCGACGATGATGCTGATGCAGCTACAACGGTGCTCACGCTACTGTATGTAGCGGCCGTTGCACATTATTGCCACGCTGCTACGATGATTGCCGAACAAGCTCCTCGCCGCGCAGTGGCGCTTTCTAAGCAAGCTTTCTGCTGCGCACGGTGAGGAGGACCTTTAAGATGTGGAAAATCAGAGTGTTGGAGTCGGATGTTGGGGCGAATTTGGTGGCACCGACAATGTTGGCAATCTCCGATTTGGGTGGCATTTTGGGAGGTTCAGGGGTGGACTATTTGGTGTGGGAAGAAGGTTCTAGGAGGTTTTTAGTAGTTAGGTAAAACACTCAATTAGTTGATTTGGGGGAATTTGGGTTTATTTCTAATCTACCTCTGTTTTCTCTTCATCTAGTTGCTGTGGTGTTGAATGTAATTGGTGAGATGGTGGTGCGGCTGCAATTGCAGTGGCGGCTATGGCAGTGAGTTGTTGGTATAGGTGGTGGGCAATTCGTGCTAAGTGGTGATTGGACGATCTATGATGTATGTGTGTTGTTCTGTGAGTATGGAAATGATTGTGTGGTGGTACGGTTAAAGTGGTAGCGACGACGATGGTGAAGTAGTGGTGGTATTTGGTGGTGGTGGTTCTGGCGACTGTTGTGCAACGGCTAAACGGTGTTGGGGCTGTTAGTAGATGGTGGTGGCGATGGGTCTGTCGAGGTGGCGGTGGATCTGGCGAGACGATGTGGTGGTGTTTTTATGCGATTGTTTGAGATGGTCTTGCTATCGAGGGTGGTTTTGGCGGCGACGGTGGTGGTGGTACCGCTGATGAGAGTGGTGAGGTGGACATCAAGTGTTGGTTGTGGTCACAAATATTTGGTCGTTTGTGACCATTAAATTGGTTAATCTGTGACCGATAAATAACATGTAACCAATGAAAAAGATAAATTGTGATAAAAAAAAATAATGTGTGGCTTAAAAAATTGTTAATTTACAGTAATTTGACAATTTGTGATCGTCTCTAAGTTGTGACTTACAATATTTGTGATTTGTGACTGATGAATACGTTGTGACGTATAAATTTTATTATTTGTAATCGATGAACAAATTTTGACTTATAAATTTTTTTAATTGTAACCGTAAAATAATTTGTGACCTATAAAATTTCTGATTTATGACCGTAAAATAATTTGTGACTTATAAAATTTCTGATTTGTGACCGATAAATAAATTGTGACATATAAATTTTTTGAATTGTGACCATAAAATAATCTGTGACATTTCAATTTTTGATTTGTGATCGATGAACAAATTGTGACCTATAAATTTTTTGAATTGTGATCGTAAAATAATTTGTGACATAAATTTGTGATTTGTGACCAATTATATGAATTTTGTGACCAAATTATATTGAATTGTGACCTTAATGTATTTAATCAATAAAATATATGTTTAATTNTAATATATTTAATAAATTTATTTATAAATAAAATTTAAAAATATCTGAAATTTGAAATTTTAAACTTAAGTTCTTAAATTTGAAATGGGTAAAACTAAACCTCTTAATTATGAATTTTTCTCATAGTATTATTAGAGTGAGAAAAGCCTACGTAAAATATAAAATCACATGTACCAATATAAATATGAATTAGTCTAAATGTACACAATCCATTACATAATGGATTACACTCCCTCATATGGATGGGGGCCCACACACAATAAAATATTCGTGGCTCCCCTCCATGTGAGGGGGATGTAATCCATTAGGTAATGGATTTGGTGTACATCTAGCACGACCATGTAAATATTAGTGATTGAAAATGGTTGTTTAGGTTTTGAAATTTCTATCTCTAGTTGGGCTTTCGATTCGAAGGTTAGAAAATGTGATGCAGGTTCATTTCTCTCAATAAATTCAGTTTCAAGGGCTGGTAAACGAGGGGATTCAGACTTTAGATCTCTTCTCTATAGTGAGAGGTTGCTTTCGTATCAAGAGCGTGTTGGAAGGCTATAAAAGACGGATTGGATAAAAGGCGATGATTATGCCCCTACTTTATTTATGGGATATTTGAGCGAGTCTGTTGAAAAACGAAGCGCGCTCAAAATCACATATACCAATATAAATTTTGGTGATTCGAATGGAACTATCAAGAGTAATACCGTCATTTATCATCAACATAGTTAAATTGATGACTATTGACGAAAATATTGACAGTAATATCGTCGGTAATCATTGACGGTGCTTTAGTCGTTAGTCGTCGATAGCTAAAGTTATTGTATCTTTAATTTTTAATTTATTTTTTATAATATTACCGACGAAATAAAATATTTATATATTAAATTGTTATTTTACACTTTTATTTTGTTACCGTCTATCTGTAATATTTATTCTTTTATTTTTATTAATTTATTAAATTAAGTTTTATTAACTATTATAAAGAAAAAATTTAATTCTTATAGATTCTATTGGTACAACTATTTAGAATGAAAATTCTTAAAACTTCAACACGAGGCCTTGTGTAATCGCTTCATTGATTTAGAGGTTGAGCTAGCTCTAATCCATATTTGCGTAAGGTAAAATGTGCGCAAAAGTTAGGGAATTAAACTACTTTACATTGAATTTGACATTTCAAGACTCTTTGTGTACATGAAGTTTGACATTCCAAGATATGTCAAAATCTATGTCATTGATTATTTAAAGTGTTTTTATAAATAAAAAGTCGTCACTTTACAATAATATCAAACTTGATATAAATGTAGCAAAACTGAAAGATACGAGTGTAATAATTGGCAGGTCTTGGATTGATTACGAGTTAAACCTAACTCAATTACACAATAAAAGTGTAACCCTACATAATGGATTAGTTGTAACTAAGGGCATGTTTGTATCCCATTTTCTGTGTAGAATGTATTTTGAAATATTAGATTGATGAAAAATGTGTTGTTTTGAGTTGCGTATAATATTATTTTATTGCATAATGTGTGGTTGAAAAGAAGTGAGATAAAAATATATTTTCAAAAAAAAAAAAATCATGGTTAAGATTTGAAAGAGGGGGAAATGAAACAAGAGTTTGGAAGTGACTTTGTGTATGTTTTGGGTTGGTTTTATAGATGCTTTGGCTTTTAAGGACAACAAACTTTTGTGTCAGTTTTGTTTATTTTAATGATGGTTGTCCTACCGTATAGTTCATTTTTCTCTCTTTATATTTTTTAATAAAATAATATTACACATAAATTTAAATGTCTTTTTCTTCTTTTTTAACCACGCATTGAAAACATATTTTAGCCCTATTTTTTGCAAAAAATTCATTTTGAAATGGTGATTTGATGAATAATGTGTAGTTAAAAAATAAAAATAAAAATTGAATTTACGTATAATATTATTTTATTGAAAAATATTTAGTTAAAAATAAAAGAAAGAAAAATATATTTTAAAAATAATGAATAACAAACCAAGGCTATATTAAAAAATTATTATTTCTTTAGAATGACGGGCCAAAACCCGCTTAATTATGATTGGCCAGTGTAAAGTCAACCAGCTTCAAGTTGTGGAGTGACGCCACAAAAATATAAAGCCAACTTGTGAGTACGTGTGTGAGAGATATAAGAGCGTGGGGTAGGGGTTATGTTTATTGGATATAGTATTAGTGGAAATTACATCATGAATTTTAAACTTTCAATTTCAAAAATCAAATTCAAAAGTTTTTATTTCAAAATCAGATGATAATTAAAATTTTAATGATTTAATTTAAAAAATATAAAATTAAAACAGATAAAACGATTGCAATACTCACTAAACCCTAAATCTCTATCCCTTCTACCTCTCTCTCCATTCTCTCCGTATCTCGCTCTCCCTATCTCTCATACAACCATCGGAAAGGAGACTCCACTGCGACGATGATTCTGATGCAGCTACAATAGTGCTCATGCTACTGTACGTAGCGGCCGTTGCACATTATTGCCACGCTGCTATGACGATTACCGAACAGGCTCCTCGTCGCGCAGTGGCGCTTTTTGAGCAAGCTTCCCGCTGCGCACGGCGAGGAGGACCTTTAAGATGTGGAAAATCAGAGTGTTGGAGTCGGATGTTGGGGCGAATTTGGTGGCGCCCTCGATGTTGGCAATCTCCGATTTGGGTGGCATTTTGGGA